GTTAGTACGTGAGAGCTGGTTTTAAAGCACTCCAAGGCATCACTTGCCAATGATCCAAGATTCAATAGTATCAGTCGAGATCCTGTTCAAAGGTTTTAAAGGAGATATGTCACGATAATTTAAGTCATTTTTTTGCGAAGTGTAAAATCACCTTCAAACTACATGTAATGAAAGCCTCAAAATAATAGTTTACAACGATAGAAAAACAACGAAATAGGTAGTAATAAACCAAACAGGAACAAGGATGGTTGTGGATGGAGAAGATTAAGACGGATTGTGAACGGCGAACGTGAACCGAAATTGGCCAATTTTTTCAAGATGCGCCATCCGTCACGTGGCTCCTTTAGCAACGCGTATCGTGGCAAAAAGAACAATAGAAAAAAGAAAACGACGATGTTCTCAAATCAGTTGCTCATATTGTCTGACCGTGCAATAAAAAGGCAAATTACGACCTTACCGTCCAGTTTCAAAATCCCATATTGAATTATGCAACCTTATGGAGCCTGTCGAATCATCATTTGCGCCAATCAGATTAACAGAAACACGTGCATCAGTGCCGGAAAATAGCCGCGGGGATGTGGTCACCTTAATCGCATAACCTGAAAGAAGAAAGAAATAATAATCAGTTATACGAGTTTCACAGTGAAGAGCGCTCTACTCTTTGCCACTCGACAAAGTTTTTGTTTAATTTTTGTCAGCATTTTGACAACAAACTTTCTATTGGCTTCCATTTAAACTAGCAAATCAAATTGCAAGAATTGTGGGAGGCGGAGATGTCAATTGTCAGAACGCAAACGTGGAGCTTGACAACACACCACCTCTCATAATTCTTGCATTTTGATTGGCCAGTTAAAACGAAAGCCATCATAAAGTTGTCAAGAAGATGTCAAAAAGTTGTCAAACATTAATCAAAAACTTTGTCGAGTGGCAACGGTAGGGCTCTCTTTACTGTAAAAGACCACACATGCCGTCTTTTTATGTCAACCCCAGCGTGCCTGTTTATTAAATAGCCTGATCTGGCCTGATACACGCGGCTACGAATACTACTTCTAGGTTGCTCTAACAATATGCTGGTGTACTGGCATGGGCACTTGTGTGGAAAAGGAGGCACCGTAAGACAAAATTAAAGAGAACATTGAAAAGGCTCTAACCCTCAAATCTGACGCACTAAAAATTAGAGCATCGTAACAAGCTGTAACAGATAAATGAATCAATACTCACTGGTTCCATGAACCTGTGTGTAAGCGAAAATCAGTAGAGATAAGACATAGAATACACGCATATTGTGGTAGGCACCTCCGTCCATATATGAGTTTCTTCAACTTTTTTCAGTATTGTTCGGAAGGGAACCACACACTGACAAGACCTCTGTTTTATAAAGAAGTCTTTATCGCAATAAACCTATTATTTTATACCTTCTACATATCAATCAACCGTCAAATAAACTAATTATACCCTGTTAGGTTAATATGATGATGCAAATTATTATTTACTGTGTTCATAAATTCAGATTCTTTATCAAATACCTAAAAATTAATAAAAAGAGTAAATTGTTGTCAGAAACAAGTAAGCAAACTCTTTGACTATAACATTTTCTTCTAGATTTATATATTTTACAACAGTTTGGAGCATTAAAAAGTTCGCTGGCTGTCAAGAACTTTCAACCTCTCAGGGTTCTCTTCAGGACATGATAATGAATATTATATTATATTATTGCAATTTAATTATCTTTTTAACTTTGATTTGGGAAACAAATGTAAAAAGTAAATGAGAAAATAAATTAAATTAGAAAAGTTTTAATATGAAAAAGGAAAGACGTCCCCGGGTGGGCTTGAACCACCAACCTTTCGGTTAACAGCCGAACGCGCTAACCGATTGCGCCACGGAGACTACTGACATCCAGTTGGCGCAAGATTAGGTTTTAAATTTGTATGCTAACAAAGCGTTCCAATTAAAATATATTAGAACAACCAATTTATTAGTCTCTATCGCTCAAGGGTAAAGTTATCAATTATATGCGAGTGATTTTATTAGTTGAATATATTGGTGTTCATTATTTGCTGTGTCACGCGCAGCTGTGTAAACTCTTTCAGCGTCTGTAAAAAATCTCAAATAAATTCTTTTTTTAACAGTAGGAAACAGCAGATTTAAAAAATATATATTCCCAGCCTGTTTTAAGCATAAACTGTTATTGTCCTCCTTATGTTATATTGTTATTATTTTTAATTTATTAATATAAATACCGTAAACTGATTTCAATAATAAGCCCGAGGCCTATTTCTGTCTAAAAGTTTTGGTGGGCATATTTTCGCCTAGCCTCCTCCGCAGGCAACTCCTGGGTCTCCGGGGTCTGGGGCAAGAAAGGGGCAAAAGAGCGGGCACTGGGGCCTCAGTCACCTTTTTGTCCTCCGTACCAGTCTCTCACTCGTGCCTTTATGTAAGAGTTGCCTGCGGAGGAGGCTAATTTTCGCCGGGGAAAGGATTTTGCATCGGAAAATTTTTAGGTGCATACGAGAACACCACATATGAGTAACTGTTTGGTCATCAAAAAGACTCTAAACATATGATTTAAAAAAGGCTGCATTCCGGCTAAAGTGACCGACGCCACCTGGGCCCATGGTATGAAGCGGAAAATATCGCTACTCCCCCAGGATGGGATGCTAGTTCATCGCACAGGTGCCCCCCCAACCACTGAGGAAGATTAAGACGCTTTGCAAACGACGGTGAATCCGGAAAAAATTGGCTCATTTTTTCAAGATGCACCATCCATAGCTCCTTTACCAATAGCGCCAAGAGAATATTATATTCTCTTGATAGCGTTCATTCTAACCCGAAAAGCAGCCTCCTAGTGACTACCCTACCCAAACTTCAGAGGCCGAGACTACGACGAGAAAAATACATCGCCTGTTGGTTAGACTACGCCGTAGTAGAATAATTATACAGCCTGGTTTTAGCCAGCAAGGCAAGCACAAACGTAAGCGCAAGTACAAGTATCAAAAATGTATGTCACTATAAAACCCAGTGTGTAAGGCGCTTGAGGCAGTCATGGTGTCACTGTTAGCCCCATGCTTGAGGCTCAAACTATAATATCTGTACAAAGAAAGTTTCATTTTTTCTGATATTTTTAACGGATGTTTGAAGATATAGGCGCATTTCAAAGCAAATCGGCTTTATACTGGAAAATAAACCGGTACAGATACGTACGAACGATAATTTTAAAACAACAACAAACAACAACAACAATAATAATAATAATAATAATAAAAAATACAGACCCAAAGCGAGAATCATGCCACTAGACCAACAGGCCTTCGAATGGTTAATTTGCTTGCTCAAGAACGAGTTCAAATTAACGTCGAACGCAACATCAGGTGGCCATATTGAACAAGAGCCTTTCACAGGTAGAGAGAAACGCAGTCAGTTCCTGTCTTGAAATTCGTCAATATATTTTTTTATAAAATTCGCTGAAATTAATAATTGTTTCATGGAGTAAACGAGTGAATAGCAGGGAAAAATCGTAGAAATTTTTGCCATAACTAATAAATTTCAAATCAGTTGTTGTTTCCTCGACCGTGCATGTGACTTGAAGAATTTACATATGGAGCGGTTTTCATGCGAGTGTCGTAAAACAATCCACCGTACGGAAAAAGATGGCGACTGGTACATTTACCCATAATTCTTAGCGCACGAAAACCCTAAAAACGCTCATAAAAACGCACAGAAAAGTTCTAAAAACTTCAAATCTAGCATACACAATGTTATTACTACAGGGACGAATTTCTCAAAAAAATATGGCTTTCTATGTGCCTATTGGCTGTGTTAGGTTCGCAAGGTATTGTGGTAAAATGTACAACCGCCATCTTGGATTACAATGGCCTATCACAAGAAACATAAGCAACGTAATGAACCAATGAGAACTTGAATCAAATACACAGCGCGGGAAACCGCCTGTGGCCAAGTTGGTTTTGGTTTTGTATCTGATTGGTTGAGTACATGGCGCAAATGTTTTAAACCAATCACAATGAGTAATGAAGCAAAACCAAAGCAATTCCGCATTACGTTCGACACTCACTTGAAAACCGTTCTAACCCGCATTTGCTTCTCAATCCATCCTCAAAACGGCCACCTACAATCAGTGTCAGAAGTCATTGGAACACCCTCCCCCTTTCTAACCTGTTCCATAGGGAGGGAGCGACGCGAAAAGACGCGCCACCCTTCGCTTCCTATCCCGAACGCTTGGAACAGGCTACCCCCTTTCCGCTGTCGAATATTGGATAGGGCAATAAGCGCACACTCTTTGTTCAGAGTATTTCAGGTTTTAAAACATCATTAAAAGGAGAGAAAGGGAGGGAGACGAGATTAAATCAAGAGTGTGCCAACAATGGGTCATAGATTGTAGCCTCTCTACAATGGCCTGTCTCCTCATATCAAAACGTGTGTAAATACGTTTTATTGATTATTGTCTAAATCCATGGTGATATTGTACAATTAAAAATCACTACATTAATTGAATCCTACGTAGCAGTAAAAAGGAATTTTGGGCACAAGTAATTGTTTTTATATCAATATCAATAATAATACGTATAAATGAGTAGCTGATTTCTGTCTATATATACAATATTTTAAAGTCTTTTTTTAATTGTACGTATTTTAAAGCGAAATTGTTTAATATACAATATTTTGTTCTCGCTTGCAATTATATCCTATGTTATGATTATTTTAAATTCCTTTCTCCAGTTAAGCACTTATTAGGCGAATGGAAAGTAATAGTACTACTTAGCTTAATAAAGGTAAAAAGTATTTATATATTTTATAATATTTGTATTTATATTGGTATGCGCTTTAAAGCTAGAAGCTTGTGTGGCTATGGCCATATATTTGTGAAACAAATATTTTGAAGTTAACGCAACATCTCAACTGGTAGGAGGCAGACTAGTTGGCTATTTTACAAGCGTGGCCGCGGATTGGAACTCGGGACTACCAAGAACAAATCCAGCTAGTGGCAGGGCGGAGGGCTTGAACCCGGGACCTCCAGATTACAAGACCGACACCCTAAACCACTCGGCCATGCTGCCTCAAGATAAACATTGTTGAATATACGAGGCCGAATGCGCCACTTGGAGCCAATTTATAGTCTTGTAAATTTACGTTAATGTGACATTCAGGACAAAAACATGAGGGATTATGACCCTCTCACTGAAGAGGATTGTGACCTCTCCTTTAGCACCAACTCTGATAGGATAAGGACCTCTCTCATGAGGGATTGTAACCCCCTAGAGAGGGTTGGAGGATTATGTACCCCGACAGGAGAGAATTGTGACATCTCCTTTAGAATCCTAATTCTGGTAGGATAAGGATCTCTTTCATGGGGATTGTGATCCCCTGGAGAGGATTGGAGGATTATAACCCCCTGGCTGGAGAGGAATATGACCTCTCGTTGCCATGTAGCCTTTTTAGCCTTTGTAACCTTGACCTGTATGTAACTCGTGTTTTATTTGCGTAATTTATCCCCACCCCTCTATCCCACAAGCGGCTGTTGTTTTGGGTTATTTTCTTCAGTCATGGGCTGCGAGTATTAACATACAGGATATCATTGATATATTATATACCTTATTATAGGAAATTAACGCTCCATGAAATTAACGCGAATTTTGAAAATTCGCGTTAATTTTTGTGAGCGTTAATTTCTGCGACATTAATTAAGTGGAGCGTTAATTTCCACGACCTTAATTTCCATTATTATAACCTCAAATTCTGGATCCTGTACATACATAGAAAACAACTCTTTTCTGCACACTGTATTACAATATTTCCAGTTCACCCTCGCTTTCAGAAGAGCAGTTCTTGACATCTGAGTGCTTGTATTTCAGCCAAAATATCTTTGTTTTTTTTGTGTCAATCGCGTTAATTTCTTTCATTTTGAAATTTTACCTCCTCTTTCGCGTTAATTTCCTTTATTCGGAAGTAATATTCCCTCCAATTCGCGTTAATTTAAGTCGCGTTAATTTCAAATACGTTAATTAACACGCGCGTTAATTTCCTATAATAAGGTACATGTTGTGCATGGCATACACAGACTCAATATTTCTCCTGGTGAGATATTGTCATCTTTCTGTGGTCTTCTGTTACTATTTGCTTCGCTGTTTTCAGGTGCTACTCGTGCGTTTGTTGTACCATTGCGTGCTGTCCTTGGTAAAACGTTTTCGCTGTTTGCAGGTGCTGCTTGAGCGTTTGTTGTACCGTTGCGTGGTGTCCTTGGTAAAACTGCTTCGCTGCCTTCAGGTGCTACTCGTCCGTTTGTTGTGCCGTTGCGTACTGTCATTGGTAAAATTGCAATACGGTTTTTGTTGTTATTCCTCCGCTTCAGGAAGACAACAAGCAGAACTATTAAAACGGTGACGACCACTCCTCCAAAGAAACTGCCCAATGCAACACCCACCGGGCTAATTGAGCTACTGGAGCCTTCACTGCGTCCTGATGAATACAAAGCAAATGACTCAGTTATAGATATTTCTGATGAAAGTGCTCTTTCCTAAACAGAATTGTACGAAATTTCCTGGCGCAACGACCTTTGACAATAATGATGATGATAGATGGTTAAGTCCCGGGGGGGGGGGGGGGGGGGACCTATATGGGAGTCCCTCCGGCGGTTAAGTACTCTGTGCAATGTGTAAAATGATCTGTCGATTCTAAAACAGCTCACCTTGAGATGCAGGGTAACGTGTAGAGGTTGGCTGAGTGCCTTCGGAGGTTTGCTGCGTATTGGTATTAGTTGTCTTTATCACAAAGGTTACGGGTGGAACAGGAACCCTGTCGCTTAGATACATGCTTCGATGTTCCAGTGACATTTCCCGTGAAACTTGTGTTGATAATACGGATGAGCTGTTCATCGTTGTTGGTGACAGCAATGGCGAGGGCGATATTAATATCGATGGCGTTGCAGACGACGATATTAATGTTGCTTTCGACATCAATAAAGACGGTGATGGAAATGATATTGCTGATAAGGAGATTGATGATGTTAATGTTAATGTTACTGCTAACGTTGTTGTTATTGTTGTTAATGACGATGAGACGGACGACGATGTTGAATGTAAAGCTGACGATGGTGATGACGATAATGATAATGGTGATGAGATTATAGATAATAATGAAGATGATGTGATTGCTGATAATGATGAAGGTGAGCTTGGTGAAGATGATAAGATTGAAGGTGATGAAGATGATGAGATAAGTGATGATGACGAGATTGTTGATGACGAAGTTGATGAGATTGATGATGATGAAGATAATGTGATTGATAATGATAAAGATGATGAAATTGGTGACGATGATGATGAAGATGAGATTGGTGATGTTGAAAAAAATAATGAGCTTCGGGATAATGATGACGATGAGATTGGTGGTGATGATGATGATGATGGGGATGGCGAAGATGGTGATGGCGATGATGATAATAATGGTGATGGTGATAATAATGATGATGAGATTAGTGATGAGGATGAGGATGATGAGACTGCTGGTGCTGCTGAAGATGATGAGATTGGTGGTGATGATGATGATGAGATTGCTGCTGCTGAAGTTGTTGCGATTGCTGCTCCTGCTGCTGCTGAAGATAATGAGATTGCTGCTGCTGGTGATGATGAAGAGATTGCTGCTGCTGCTGATGAGATTGCTGCTGACAATGTTGAGATTGCTGCTGCTGAAGATGATAACATTGCTGCTGCTGATGATGATGATGAAATTGCTGCTTCTGTTGCTGAAGATAATGAGTTTGCTGCTTCTGTTGCTGATGATGAGAGTGGCGATGATAATGACAATGATGATGATGAGATTGCTGCTGCTGATAAAGATGATGAGACGGATGATGATGTTGAAATTGCTGCTGCTGCTAACGATGATGAGATTGCTGCTGCTGAAGATAATGAGATTGCTGCTGCTGGTGATGATGAAGAGATTGCTGCTGCTGCTGATGAGATTGCTGCTGACAATGTTGAGATTGCTGCTGCTGAAGATGATAACATTGCTGCTGCTGATGATGATGAAATTGCTGCTTCTGTTGCTGAAGATAATGAGTTTGCTGCTTCTGTTGCTGATGATGAGAGTGGCGATGATAATGACAATGATGATGATGAGATTGCTGCTGCTGATAAAGATGATGAGACGGATGATGATGTTGAAATTGCTGCTGCTGCTAACGATGATGAGATTGCTGCTGCTGAGGATAATGGGATTGCTGCTGCTGATAATGATGATGGTGGAATTGCTGCTGCTGAAGATAATGGGATTGCTGCTGATGACGATGATGATGTTGAAATTGGTGCTGCTGCTGCTGAAGATGATGGATTGCTGCTCCTGATGATGAGATTGCTGCTGCTGTTGAAGATGAAGCGATTGCTGCTGCTGATGATGAAGAGATTGCTGTTACTGATGATGATGGGATTGGTGCTGCTGCTGAAGTTGACGGGATTGCTACTGCTGCTGATAATGAGATTGTTGCTTCTGCTGCTGATGAGATTGGTGATGAGGATGATGAGATTGCTGCTGTTGGTGACGATGAAGAGATTGCTGCTGCTGATGATGATGAGATTGCTGTTGTTGCTGCTGACAATGTTGAGATTGCTGCTGCTGAAGATGATGACATTGCTGCTGCTGCTGATGATGAAATTGCTGCTTCTGTTGCTGAAGATAATGAGTTTGCTGCTTCTGTTGCTGATGATGAGATTGGCGATGACAATGACAATGATGATGATGAGATTGCTGCTGCTGATAAAGATGATGAGACGGATGATGATGTTGAAATTGCTGCTGCTGCTAACGATGATGAGATTGCTGCTGCTGATAATGATGATGGTGGGATTGCTGCTGCTGAAGATAATGGGATTGCTGCTGATGACGATGATGATGTTGAAATTGGTGCTGCTGCTGCTGAAGATGATGGGATTGCTGCTCCTGATGATGATATTGCTGTTGTTGTTGAAGATGAAGCGATTGCTGCTGCTGATGATGAAGAGATTGCTGTTACTGATGATGACGATGATGATGGGATTGGTGCTGCTGCTGAAGATGATGTGATTGCTACTGCTGCTGATAATGGGATTGTTGCTTCTGCTGCTGATGAGATTGGCGATGAGGATGATGAGATTGCTGCTGCTGAAGATATCAAGATTGGTGACGAGGAAGATAAGAATGCTGCTGCTGCTGACGACGATGAGATTGCTGCTTCTGTTGCTGATGATGAGATTGGCGATGATAATGATAATGACAATGATAATGATGAAATTGTTGCTGCTGCTAACGATGATGAGATTTCTGCTGCTGCTGATAATGATGATGATGAGATTGCTGCTGCTAAAGATGATGGGATTGCTGCTGATGACGATGATGATGTTGAGATTGGTGCTGCTGCTACTGCTGCTGAAGACGAATAGATTGCTGTTTCTGATGAAGAGATTACTGCTGCTGATGATGAGATTGGTGCTGCTTCTGAAGATGATAGGATTGCTACTCCTGATGATGAGATTGCTGCAACTGCTGCTGATGATGAAGATATTGCTGCTGCTGCTGCTGAAGATGATGAGATTGCTGTTGCTGATGATGAGATTGTTGCTTCTGCTACTGAGGATAATGAGATTGCTGCTGGTGAAGATGATAAAATTGCTGATGCTGAAGATGATGATGAGATTGGTGATGAGGATGATAAGATTGCTGCTGCTGAAGATATCAATATTGGTGATGAGGAAGATGAAAATGCTGCTGCTGATGATGATAATGATGAAATTGCTGCTACTGCTGCTGCTTCTGATGACGATGAAAGTGCTGCTTCTATTGCTGAAGATAATGAGTTTGCTGCTTCTGTTGCTGATGATGAGATTGGCGATGATAATGACAATGATGATGATGAGATTGCTGCTGCTGCTGAAAAAGATGATGAGACTGATGATGATAATGATGATGATGATGATGATACAATTGCTGCTGCTGATAATGATGATGGTGAGATTGCTGCAGCTGCTGAAGAAGATGGGATTGCTGTTGATGACGATGATGATGTTGAGATTGGTGCTGCTGCTAC